TCTCGCTTTCGTTCTTAATATATCAATGCGAAAAATCACTTACCTAGAATTTATCAACATCATACTATAATTAAACTGCCTTCAAAATTCACATGGAAAGACATGTCTACTCATTCGATAAATATAATGGTGGTATACATATGGTGATAATATAATAGTCTTTAAGTCAAAGTACATAACACCCGTTTGATTTTCGTGTGCATGTTCTTTCAATACTTTCTTCAACACTTTTGGAAAGCAAAATATATAAAACGTTTTTACCATAAAAACCGAACGGTGTTTAACAGATCTGTCCAAAACCGTTTATGATAAACTGTGCCTGAAAGGTCTGCAACTTTAGCTTTGTATTTGATGGATGGTGCCCCCGGGAATGCTTTCCTGTTTATTTATATTTATGTTAATGTTTATATCGGGTTGTATTACCATCAGTGGTTTTCGGAGTTCATCTGGATGGTAAACTAGATCCACTAAAAAATTTCGCACGGAATGCTGATACATTATAACGAGTCAATGCATTCCCTGTACTTAGTCAGGAATATGACAGTTGTTTTACATTCGTTTGATGTGTTTGAACTTTTGAGTTTGCCATTGGATAAAGGACTTTCCGTTTTGATTTTTCCTTGGAGCTCGGTATTTTTGTTATTTTACTCTTTGTTAATTGTTTCATTTGAACTTTTAGTAATTTGGATACACGTTTTAATATGTTATTAATCAAATATGAGTATTTGAGTAAAATCGACGAAAACGAATTTAACAGCTTGTCTTTTGATCATGAAAGTACAGAAAAAACAAACACTGGAGTTTTATATAAGGGAAAGGCATGAAATCCAAATAAAGCCAGGGTAATCATGAAAACATGTTAATCGCGTAGTCATAATTTACCTTAAATAAATTCGCCACATATGGAATTTGATCCTTGGTAGTTTGAAACACATGACCACCGGATACTGAACCTAAATGACGATATACATCCATTAGATCCCAAGTAGTTGCACGGCGATGGCGAGAGTGTCCTGTTATAAAAAAATGAAATAATGTTACGGATTTCAACCGTTGATTTTTATAACTCCGAAGAAGCAAGAATATGTCAAAAAACTTTAAAGTAAATATTGGTTAATAGTAGAAGATTCTTGATACCTTTCTTTAATAAAAAGATACATTTAAAATTATATGTATTACTTTTGTAACCAAACTACAACATTTTGTTTACCGTTTATAATTTTTTTCTAATATCAGTATCTGTTGCAACGTATTCTGTATACTTGAATGTGTTCATGTGTGTCAATAAGATGCAAATATAAAAACAAACCTGTGTCTGATGCAAGAAAGGCGGCACTAAAATCTGAATATGAATGATGAAATCTCTGAAACACATTGCCATGATCGTCTATTCCTTCGATTGCAAGAACGAAATCCTATTATAAGAAAGTAGAAAAGCATGCGTATGTCAATTACATAACTATAAATATTCATCATATGAACAGAAACCAAATATTCAAATGTTTCGCTTTCACTTTTAGTAAATCATGTCAATTTCAACCCCTGTTACTTACTTTTAATACTTTCACAATAATTACTTTTTTTACGAGTCATTTCTCCATTAAAACGAAGACCGCAACAGGATAAAAAAAAATGTGCTAGCAGTTTGATATCTCCCGATAAAAAAAGATGGTCAAGTGAATTGACAAGATTACATTTCCTAACTGTAGGCTTTGCAATTTGTAATTCGTTAATTATCCCTCATATTATCATTGTCATGAAAATTATGTGATATACCTTATCGCCTTCCTTTTTGTTGCTGACTTAAATCTGTTTTTTAATACTATCATAAATAAATATACATATCCCTTAATTATGTAGTTAAGTTCAATTAACTATCTAACGTATGCATAAGTTTGAAAATTGGAAAACAAACATTAATTACCTTTTTGTATTTCATTACATAGCAATTATATACATTCTCAGATGTTCGGTTGAGACCAACTTTCTCTACATCGCCACTTGGATAACCAATAATTAAGCTGTACATCACAATATCTTTGTCTCTATAATCTGTTGTAACTTCTATGACAAATTTCTCTGTAAAAAAGCAGACCTCTAGGTTTATACTGAACATGTACAGCTTACATCTGGTCTCACATTTCAATTGTAATCTTTGTTCTCATTTGATGCGTCAAAAAAGGCGACAGAGCTTTTACATTTTCTATCCATAGACTTATCTGACGTATGTTAGATGCATGTAAAATGACTGGATGATTATTTTCACATAACACTTGGTTCCTCTACTGATAAAAAAATTAATCATTTTATGTTATGTCTGTGTTGATGCTTGTTTAGAAATAATTAATAGAATTTTAAAAAATTTCAAAACATCTCTTTGTGTATTATCATTTATCATACTGAGAGTGAACTCCCTTGGTGACAGCTTCGGAGATATCTCTAATTCGGTAGGTCACATTATGTGAAAGGAGAACGGGATTGTGGTTACGACGGTTGGAACATAAAGACTGTCATAATGGTAATTGTAAAAACATTACATATGTACAGTACTTTGTATCTGAACGTAAGCAGAGAATGATATATCCCCTGGGTTTTTTGTTGCGCAAAATATTTTAAAATCGTAATGTCAGGCCTTTAGATCCTAAACCTCATCCGAAAAGGCAGGAGATCATTTTGACGTATTTACGATATATATGGTACATAAAAGGAACAACCTGAATCGTCAAAAATATTGGATATTGCAACGCTCAACTCGTCCAAAATAAAACGTACAAACGGAGACAAACAACAACGAACAGTACATGATAAAAAAAAGCATGACTTGATACAGGCACAATATGTCGTTTTGTAAAAGTTTTGAATGATGAAAATGCTGAGACATCAGTGTCAACACAGACTTTGAACAACAAAGAAATATTTATTCTTAAAATAAAACATCAAAAAGGAACATCACCATCAGGTAAAGGGAAAATAACAACAACAAAAATCCGTTCATTTTGTCAAACGTTTTCGTCTGACAATAACCATTTAGAAGTCTTATAGTATAAAGATTTAAAAATCAACGATCCCTATAATTTCGAAAGATTGAGTTGTTGTGGACACTTTCATTTGTATGTTTAGAAAATCTGGATTGTTTACAGATAATATATCGCCTTATGATCTACAGGTGTTGTAAAAATGCATAAGTGGCGTTTAGTTTTACCTTCATGACGTAAGTCCTAACCAGAATACCAATCACTTGCCGGTATGATTTATCTTCAAAGAGCATAAATCATATAAAGCAATAAATTAAGGAATTTATCATTTTTCTGCATACCACCGTAATTCGGGGTCGTGATTGTGATTCTCTATTCCTTTATTTGTATTGGTTTTTAGAGAATAAAGTATTGTTGTTGTTGACTAATTACCTTTTGTATCATCCTTGGAAATTTTGTACTCGAAATCTAGGTTGCTTAGTCCCGTCACTTCAATGTCCCAATTCGTATGATCAAATCGAAGTAAGTTCCATATTCCTGGTTCAGGATTCTAAATATAAAGATATGGTTTTATATTACATTAAATTTGGCACAAATGAAAGCATATTATCCTTACCTTTTCTTACATCTTTTAAAACTAAGACATTCATAATTAACGGTCGATATCCGTTGAGTACAAAATGCATTATTTTGAACCACAATCTATATGTGTCAATACAACTTTGCGCCACATGATTTTGAGAACTTCATGTTTCATTTGTGCCAATAAAACTTGTATACAACAGCGCCTATCAATTTTATTGAAAAGGCACTATTGTTACATTTTTAAAACGGTGATTAGCTAAATAAAGTAATCATAGATATCAGAATTAACATTTTACACGCCAGACGGGCGTTTCGTCTACACAAGACTCATCAGTGGTGCTCGAATCAAGAAGTTTAAAGGACTAAATAAATTCGAAGTTTGAAAGCATTGAGGACCCAAAATTCCGAAAGGTTTTGCCAAAGATGGCAAAGGTAATCTATTCCTGGAGTAGAAAATCCTTATTTTTTCGAAAAAAATAAAAGTTTAGAAAAATTGATTCCAGTCTAATACATAGAATTCCTCACGTACGTAAGTCTGTAAATTTAATCACACGTCTAACCATTTCTGTCAAAATACTCTTGTTAAATCAGGCACAATGAAATAGTTTGCATTATATCAACTAATGTTCTATAAAATAAGATAATGATAGTAATCCTTCAAATTACTGTACCTGAATAGTAATTGAAATCATGTTATCTGTCAATCTAGTCTTTGATGTATCTTGTCCATCAAAATTAACGTATTCCTCTGCAAGATAATAGATTAAAAAGTACATTTCAAAGACAAAAAAAAGTATGCAATTTTGACAAATAGTTAAAAAAAAAATTCCAATTTCATGATTACAAATGAATACAGTTTATACAATTTCTGATTGCTTTAATACTTTTATTTCACTGCATTGATTTATGCAAATCGAAAAAAAATATTTATAGTTTTTAATATGAAGTAATTCAAATTGTATTTGCATCGGCGACTTTTGTGCTTGTAACGCATAAAATGTAGCAATACTAAGTAGATCATAAAAATCATATCTACAAGAAATACCCCCAAAAAAGGAATTACAAACAGCCGTTGAGAAAACATTACTCATAGAGCTGCAGATTGAACAATACAAACAGCCATTAATGGCCCTGGTTCAAAACGAAGCTGAAGATACGAAGATAGGCAAATTCCAGCTAGCTGCCCCTGCTCTAATTAGTTATCAAAGGAACCAGGATTATAATTTAATACGCCATACGCGCGTTTCGTCTACATAAGACTCATCAGTGACGCTCAGATCAAAATAGTTATAAAGCCAAACAAGTACAAAGTTGAAGAGCATTGAGGACCCAAAATTCTAAAAGGTGGGCCAAATACGGCTAAGGTAATCTATTCCTTTGGATAAGAAAATCCTAAGTTTTCCGAAAAACTCTAAATCGTGATTAGAGATCAGCACTGTTCTATCCTTCAGGTTTTGACATTTCTACCATAAAACTGACTCTGATAGTTCTGCCATAGAACAGTTCTAGGTTATAATATGTTCCAGATCTAATTAGAACAGTTCTATGACAGATTAATTTGACTGTCCTAAACAGAGGTTAAAACTGCTCCCAACTGTAGCAACATATCAACTTACTGCTAGGCTTTTGCAACAAAGGATAGGGCATTGCAGTGTCGCCTTTTATGTCGATGTGAATTTCCTCAATGGTATTGTCAACTGGAATCTGAATTCGAGGTGGCTCTAACACATTAAGTGTTTCTTTTACAACCAGGACAATGTTAGACTGCTTATCGTCCTGAAAACAAAAATGAATCTTTAAAATAAACAAATGCATATAAAGTATTGTAATCAGCTAGATAGAAAGGTGTGAAAGTTACCGGACACGTTTTGGTGTGTTTGTACATTTAATAGTACCACCTCCGTGGAAGCAGACATTCGTACATTTGATCGCAAGGTCTAACCAAAGACTTGAAATAATAGCATCAGTCAGAATACTGTAAATTCAGGGAAATTTTTTGGAGGTTTTTATTGCTGCGAATCATGCGACTGGGTGGATATCGCAATAATAAAAACTCGCATTCTGATATATGATACATATATCTGTATTCAGCTTGTCCTGAAATCCCAATAATTAATCTCGCGTTTTTGTCCATTCTACAAAAATCGCAATAATAAATTCACGCAAAAATTTCTGAGTTTACAGTGATGTGTCCGAATGAGATAAAATGTCTTTCCACAGGCTGTTATCGTGTTCGTTTGAAGGTTCTTGGTCAGACTCGGTCTTGCAAAAAACTTGATATATTTAATCATATTACATTAAAATGACATCATCCTGAATTCATGTGTAATATTCCAATTTTACGTAAAGCCACCGTCACACTAGACAAATACCATGAAGATCTCACTACAATTTATAAAAGAATAAGATCGCGGTGAGATCATGGTATGGTCGGCTTGAATATTCAATATTTCATAGTTTTCACGTTCATACAACGACCTTGCTACGATCCTGATAAGATCCTGCAACGATTCCGCTACGATAGTTACACGTTCTAGTTACGATCTTGTCACGCTCGTGTTACGTCTAATAAGACCTTACAAAGACTTACACGATCGAACCACTACTCCACTACGTTTCCACTGCGTTGCCACTACGCTCTTCGTTTGCTTACATGTGTCCATGATTGAACTGCTGGTAGAATTTATTGCATCCGTTTTTTTTTTATATCAACAGAATGAGGTCGTGCAATTATCGTAGCTAGGACGTGGCAGTATCGTAGTAAGGTCGTACTAAGGACGGCAAGTTCGTAGTAGCAGCGTATTATTATTGTCTTCCTCATCGTAGTATAATCGTATCAATATCGTAGTAGAAGCGTAATATAGACGTAGTGAAATCGGGATAGTCGCAATGAAATCGTAGTAAGGTCGCAGCGAAATCTTTTCCATTGGCTTCCCGATTGCACCATGTTTCCAATACGATGCTTCATCGCCCATCCCGTTCTTACTACGTCCTTACTACGACCTTCCTATGCTTCTACTACGACTAGTTTTGGCCACGACTGCACTACGAATGTTTTGAGCATGTTCAAAGTTGGTCGTGGACCTCCACGATCATGAAGACCTTGGCACGTCCTTACAACAACCACCACAATCTTACAACTTTTTTCATAATTTCCGAGGTCGTAGATGGATCGTGGTCCTAGAATAATTGGGATATAAAGCATCATTCAAAGACAAATGAGATAATTACAGATCAACTTTTGGTACAATATTTTATGTAATGACACTTTTGATTAAATAACGTGTGCCGTCAATTCCACACGTCTTTGCAAAACAATTTTTCGAAATCGCATTCGACGTTACCGGAATATCTATAATGTTAAATTTGGAACATTTTACGAGTATTATATTAGTATAGGAATAACAGAACAGGATTTTATACTTGGGTGTTTAAAATTATACATAAATGGTACGTTGACTGTTTCAGAAGAGATGATAATTCAAACATGTGTGACAAAGCGTATTGACGATATTCAACTAAGCAAGTTACCATCCTTGAAATAAAAAAAAAGAGAATTTTATCTTATACTTACATCTGCATCTTCGTTGTGCTCATTATAAAAGTTGTCCAGGGCATCTCTTTTCTTTCGACCTACAGTACAATGTAGCACATTTGAGTGTGTGTCTGAATTCTTTTATTGATGCAAATTTGCTTATATTGCATAGTTCTATCAAATGATAATGGCACTTGTAATATATAAATAAGCATTGAATTTTGTGCTTTCAGAAAATAAGGCAATATAATCTTTTTTTTTTTTGAATTCGTTACCACGATACATATAGCTATTTGGTTAACCTTTCATGAATACATTGAAAATTCTTTGGAAAAAAGTTAATTTCAGAACTGAAAAATCATGTATAAAGCGATGTATGTATCGCAGTGTTTTTTTTTTGTTTTTTTGCTGTCTTTGAAGCACGGAGTTACCTTGCATGGATACTGGGATGTATAGGAAGATATGTAATCCACTGCTTTCAGTTTCATTCGTTTCTTCAACATATAGATTAAGAATAGGCGTTTGTAAACTTTAAAGAAGGAATTAAATGCAAATGAAATAATTTCAAATAACTACTGATTGTAAATCTGCAAAGATATAATGCTATTCTTTTGGAAGGAAAACAAACATGTATTATTATAATATGGTATATAGTTCATTATGTGTGGAACATCAGCTCTTATGGTTCTTGTGATATTGTTTTGTCCGCAAATTACCAAAAACATATCACAAAGGATAATAACAACAACGTTTTCGCGCCTTATATTTGATAAACTGACCTATTGCTGGCTTTGAGTTGTCACTATACTTCAAACCGTTGTGATTTGTTGCTGAACATGTACCCGTGACGGTAAAGAATATTTGGAGATGGTTTTCTGCTATAAGACTATCGATCTTTTCTTGTTTATAAGGATCTTTTGGCGTAGAATCAGTAAATACGTATATAATGGACCCAGGAGAAGATGCATTCGCAGCTGAAAACAACATAAAATGTTCAGAAAATTATAGTAAAGGCTTGATACGGGTTATGTTCTTCTCATATATTTTATGATGGTATGATACTAAACCCCTAACGGGAGGGATTGTGCTTGATTTTCATATGATGAAGACATAATCTATCAATCAGTCAGTTTAATTGAGGTCTGGAGCTGGCATGTCAGTAACTGCTAGTAGTCCTTTGATTCATGTATCATTGTCACTTTGCTTAGTTTCTTTTGTTACCTATTCTGACATCGGACTAGGACCTCTTTTAAACTGAGTTTTACTGTGCGTATTACTGTGTGTTTGTTTAATCTACATTGGCTAGAGGTATAGGGGAGGGTTGAGATCTCACTAAACAAGTTTAACCCCGCCGCATGTTTGTGCCTGTCCAAAGTCAGGAGCCTCTGGCCTTTGTTAGTCTTGTATGTTTTTTAATTTTAGTTCATTTATATGTTTAGGAGTTTAGTATGACGTCCATTTTCACTGAACTAGTATATATTTTTGTTTAGGGGCCAGCTGGAGTCCGCCTCCGGGTGCGGGATTTTCTCGTTGTGTTGAAGACCCATTGGTGGCCTTCGGCTGTTTTTTACTCTTTGGTCTGGTTGTTGTCTCTTTAACACATTCCTCATTACCATTCTCTATTTTATTGATTGATAATATGTATTTCAATTTGTTAATGCATCAGTGCTTCCGAAGGAACAAGGATATAAATAAGTTATTTATTTGTTAATTTATTTTCTAGACAGTAACCCGCTAAATTGGTGTAAACGTTTACGAAACTGTTCGGTGTATTTATTCTTGAGAAACTTCTCTTATGTGAATTACTTCATTTCCACTCTTTTGGCCAGTTTTTTCATCGAAATTTTTTATTCAGACAACCCGAATTTCTTGATCTACGTTTGTAATTTGTCCTGCAAAGTGAAGTTACATTTATTTCGATGTGCCCTGTGGTTGTCATAATGTTCCTGTATTTTGCAGTGTCGGTCTTTTTATGACAAAACTTGACTTCTTAGATTTTTTGTGGAAATATGGTTTTTAGAAGACAATCTTGTCATACTATTGAACAGTAGACATATATTACTTCTTAGGTATTAAAACGATTAACGAAACATGCATTCAAATTGACATTACTCTACTATTTTTGAAAATCATTTTTAATTTTGTGTATTTCAAAATGATATGTTGAATTGTATGAAAGAAATACTCTTAATTTTATCCCTTACCTGACTCAATAGCAGATAACGAAAATTCAGGACAATCATTACCACTACCGCCCTGTGCCTTTATACCATTAATCCAGTTGGCAATATCTGCTGATTTTGTAGTCTTTTGTACATTTACTGATGTCACTGTAAAAACAACTTTGAATCGTTACGATAGGCATATCACAAACAAAAATACCCAGTCAAATATCTTATTCCAATTTTTTTTCCTTACAGATATTTTACAAATATCTCGGATTTGTAATATGACGGTCGCTTTCAACGTATTAAAATCAAGAATTGAAAGTGTTTCTGGAGAAACCCTGATAAGGTAAGCCGAAGACAAAAAATCTTTTTTACAGAAAGCATAAACACCAAAAAAAGGATTAAACAGAACAGCTTAATTCGATGAATGTTAAACTTGGGGTTAATGTTTTACATGATACGGTATTCAGGGAGTTTTCCTGGTTGCAATTCATTTGTTTGGGTGTATTCGTAGATTAGGTTAAAGTGATCTGAATACTAACGCCATCTTTACCGAACTTAACATAACTGTCTCTTAAGCAAAGCAATTTTTCTTACATCTGTTAAAGGGGTATTAGCTGTCAAATTCATGTTCACCAATTTGACTCAAAATTTCATATTTCATTTATAACATACTTAAAAGTCTATCCAAATTCTTTTATTTTTAATAACTTAACATGATTAGCTCATGCGTAGCTCATCCAAGTTAAGGGTTAATTTAGATTAAAGTTCGCATGAATACGGATTCAAATGAGTTAAATTATTGACTTTCAAACCAATTATACATTATCGATGTTTTTTAGATTATTTAGACAAGATTGAACCAAAACTGACTGCGAATAGCGAAATTTTATTTCACAATTCCGCTTTTATAAATTTTGAAACAAAAACAAAAACAAAAAAAAACATATTTTGTTTTTTGTCAACTTTGTAGCTAATGCCCCTTTAAGCTTTTTAAAAGTTGGAATGTAATGAAATACTAATTAATTCAATGAATTTAGCAAAACGAAGAAATTTGTTAATTCTCAAATTTGTTCCCATTTTTCTAATTCTATGTTGAATCAATTTTTGATAATATCAGAGGTCAGAAAAGAGACTTACCTGGATCACTAAACGTAACAAGTATATAATTAGATGGTGCATTGGAAACTGTACTGGCAGTCTGTATAATACTTTTTGACTCTTGTATGATCGTTGGTAAATCAGAAACCATTGATCCACTCGTGTCGATTACAAAAACTAAGGAGTAACTAGAGTCTAATTGTAGCAGATTCATGAACTTTTCTTTACTAATCAAATGCCGTATCCCATTTGCTACAGAAAAAAATCACATATTTGTTTATAGATATAGGAGGATGTGGTATGAGTGCCAATGAGACAACTCTCCATCCAAGTAACAATTTATAAAAGTAAACCATTATAGGTCAAGGTACGGCCTTCAACACGGAGCGTTGGCTCACACCGAAAAGCAAGCTATAAAGGGCCCCAAAAATTATTAGTATAAAACCATTCAAACGGGAAAACCAACGGTCTAATCTATATAAAAACGAGAAACGAGAAACACGTATGAACTACATAAACAGACGACAACTACTGTACATCAGATTCCTGACTTAGGACAGGTGCAAACATTTGCAGCGAGATTAAACGTTTTAATGGTACCAAACCTTCTCCCTTTTTCTGAAACAATAATATAACATCACAAAGAAAGACACACTATAAAATATCAATTGGAAGGCTTAACTTAATCAAAAAACGTAAATTAACACACAATGAACGAATAACTTTGATCTGTGATACCTGAATGCAAATACATAGTTAATAAAAATTATAAGGGATAAATAACTAAGGTCAAAAGTAAATAAACAGGTTGAAACAAAGTTAAAGTATGATACCACTGTGAAATGTTAAACAATATTTAGAAAATCATCACTTTTGAAAAAACCTGCGTCATATCATACACAGGTAAATGAAAATAATTTTGTTGTTAAGTATACTTCTTCTTCTGTGTGTATAAAATCTTCCGATTAGGAATACCAAGAAATTTCTTTAATCTCAATAAAACTAATTTAACACTTGGTACATATGGGGTGAATATCAACAATAAAACTATACAATTAGTGCTAGATAAAATTTCCTGTACAGGTGCAGGAACATTATTTAAGGAGAAATGAAATAATTTTGATGTTCATAGTACGAAGAAGTGAAAATTTGTAGTAATTCCAAATAATCAAAGCTGGTATATAGACAAGATCCATGTTAACATTAAATAACAAAAAAGCATTACAACTAGTATCAACAGGTCAAATTAACAAGAAAGTACGATTTGAGAGTACTCGCAGTTACTGGCAGCTAGTTAAAGGCCAAAACAATTAAATAATAAAAAATCATGCATCAGAGACTGAAATCAACAAAAACTCATCCCAGGGATTTAGTATTTTAACGTCATGAGCAGTCAAAGAGGACATGACTAGTGCAATGCCAAAAATAAATGTATCGACAGGTAGTAGGATAGTAAGGAGTGACTTCTTTATAGATAAAAATGAACGTGTGTGTGTCTCTATACATCCCGTTTGAAAAGAAAATACAAATTTAGTTATGTTTTAATTTGCTAATGACAAAATCGATATTAGTGCCAATGTAAACTATATTCAGAGATCTAATTACAACATTGGTACGATAACCCTTACTAATAAGTTTGTTTAAAGGTTCGATGAGTTTACACGGATCACATAGTGATTTCCGCACTTTAAGTACAATATTACCGTAAAATTTAGGATGTGAATACAATTTTTAATAAGTTTTCTACAGGTACAGCCAAATTTACTAATTAAATCTTTGTATCTTTGAAAGAATTTAGTAAAAGTTTTAAGTAATTTATGGTAACGAAATCCCTGACTTAATAATTTACCAGTGATGCATTGATTACGTTCGTTAAAATCTATGACATCACTAGATGTCATAGATAGAATAAATATATTTTTGTTATATAGCATCATGTGAAAAATAGTTCAACGGTGATAAATATCTATTTTATGACACAGACACATATTAACTCAAATACAAAGACATATTTCAGCGTGAATCATCAACTTTCAACAGCTTTCAACAGTGATTTCAAAAAGATCGCCCTATATATGTGCACTGGAGCCCTACAGCAGAGGTATTAGCGGAAAAAAGTAGGTGACTTAAATTAAACTTACTGTTGTCGTTAAAGAAGTACACAGTATGGTCAATAGCTGTTTGAGCTGCTTGTGTATGTTTATAAAAATGCGGAGACCTATCAGGGACTTTTGAATCTTTATTTATTCCACCCGTCGCTGCGCTTGTAGTTGTGGTGTTGTCAGTTGGTCCTCCATGGCTACATTTGCCCTTTGTATTGGCTTTTGGGTCCTCTAGCAAAAGAAATGACATATCAAATGTTAAGAACTATTACAATAGTATCAAATATTATTTTTTTGTTCTTTGTTCCTATCTCAAATGACTAAGTTTGACTATGTAAATTAAGGATTACACTTTAGACACCTTTTAATCGCCTCAGTGATCTCGTCACGTACCACAAGTTGACAGGGATATGGAAATATTGCAATCAGGTCTTCATTAGTCTAGCAGTAAACTCGTTGCAAAAGGGACATCCGTTTTGCTTTGTATGGTGTCTAGTTGCATTCGCAGCTACGTCTGTTCGGAAGTGGTAGTGTCTCGTGTAGAGTGAGTGCCACGTTCTCTGCTCTTTGAATTGGTACGTTAAAAAATTTGATTCAGTGTATAAGACAAAACTTAGATCGTATTTATATATCATTAACATGTCTTAGTCTTGAATATACATGCATGATTTCCCGCTGAAGTTTAATGTCGACCATACATCTTTATGTAAACAGTGTTTCGTTATAGCAAACCGTAATGAATACTTGACAAAATGACTATGAAACATACATTGTACAACAATTACACTAAGAACTTTTGAATAACATAATCAGAACTTTTGAATAACATAATCATATAATAATTTTACCAAAAAAAAGGTCAGGATTTTACAGGATTTTCCCAAAGGAGAAAAGTTTTTTTATCGTTTGGCTGCAAATTTACATAGTGTGCGTAAACATTCATGACTGCAGCTGATCAAACAATTATTGTAAAGTATTAAACGGTCACTAGACTAACAAAAACTAAACCTGCAGTTGATTTCAGAGAGTGCTGTGGTTTAGTATTTTAATTTTTATTAGGTTTATTTTTAGTGTTTGTGTCTTTGAAAGGTAGCGATTTTAGAAAAATGCAAAATTTGAAGACCGGGGGCCGTTATCCGTAGAGAAGTTGCTAAGAAGTTTAACGTCCGTCATCATGAGTAAATCAATTAATACACACCACAAGCGATGCTAAGACTTTTTATCCGTCACTACCGAATCTACATGATTCTTAAGACGTGTTTTGTTGTTAAAGCAGACGGTGTTTCCACTGTCGATGTACCTGTTCGTTTTACTTATATGTTCACGGATATTCTATTCCCATGAAGTTAGAGCAATTTCTACATAATGTACTTTTACTTGAAATGTATTGCTTTTGTTTAAATTATTTTTTTCTGATTGACTTAAAAGGGGTTTAAGATATCAATGGGGCAATCAGAAACCACAGGCAACACCGTGAACAACAGAAAAAAGTCTAAATGACAAGCAACTGTTCACAAAATACTGCACAGAAAACTAAAGATTGAGCAACACGAAACCCACCAAAAACAAGGGTGAACACAGGTGCTTCGAAGATGGTAGTTTCTTATCAAACATATATCGCTAGCATTTGTATGCTAGCAAACTAGCAGCTCTATTTTCAAAAATTATGAACCTTTTTTATTTTCTAAATTTTAGTTTATGTTTTGTAATTTCAGTAATTAAATGGAGAACACTTGCATTTTGAAATAAACATATAATATACTTACTGTATGGCTTTTGAATGTCTTGTCCTGATTTATAACCGCTTGTCAAAAACTGCTTTTTCGGCAAGATTATATTGAATACACAAACTCCTCTAAAAAGGAAAAACTTTGGTGCACATAGATTTCATTTAGTCGTGAGAAATTCTATTTTTCATATGTCTGAAAAACTATATTCAAACAGTGTATGTTAGATAGAATATTCATGAAAGGAATCTAATTTGTAACTTTTTTAAATAATAATTTCGTCACTATTTCAAAAGCATAGAATGATACTGAGAAATAGACAAAAGGACGAAGTAACTTTCTGTTAAAAGATGACGGTACATGTATGATAATACCACTATTTGGACCCTTTGGATTTGAAAAATCAAAAAGTATGACGCAACTACATCAAATCCTTCACAAGAAATTAATTAGTCTTTCAGATATTGGTGCTTTAGCTTTATTAATGGACTTACACATTTGCTTTAGGGCTTCGATGTTTCGAGTTTAATGCAAAACTCCAAAACTTCCAATTAGCCTCATTTCGAGATCTTGATATTAAGAATATTTAGATTTTAAAACTTTAAAGAAAGAAATATATTTTGCTACAAGGTGTCTTAAAAGTGTTCAAGAGGGTATGGATCATTTCTGCACTAAAGTATAAATAAAAGAGTCAAGATTATATCTGTTTATTTATTTGTTACTTATTACATTGCATGTATGTTTCATTACAATCCGTAGTTTTGATTGGCTGACTACAATCACGAGGCACTCCACTATCATATTTTATTTCCGTATAATTACATAACATGTATGTTTCATTACAATCCGTAGTTTTGATTGGCTGACTACAATCGCGAGGCACTTCAATATCATATTTTATTTCCGTATAAAATACAAAAGAAATGACTGCATGTGCTTTCCGTGGCAATGTTAAAACAATGGATTGAAAAAAACAAACGAAAAGCTAAATGTAACTCTTTATTATATGGTTATAGCTTAAATTTGAATTATAAGAATTGAATGCTTTTTTTTTTTAATTTTATAGGGTTGTTAAAGCGTTGATCGAGCGCACATTTTTAATATTTATTCCTTCCACAAAATTTGCTTCGATCAACGCTTTTGCATCCTAATAGAATTACAAATAAGAAACATTCAATTCTTAAATAAAATTAACTTAATCTGGATAGGATACAAGAATTTTACTTTAAGATTGCAGTACTTTAGAAATTGTATTTCAAATTTGTTAAATTCAAAGGCAATACGTTCATTATTCTGTGTTATTTTGAGTTCTATTTCTGTTTAACCTTTGCGGTTCCCAATGTTTGGTTTCAAACATAATGGAATAGAGCATTTTTCTTCCAAACTTGAAACTTTTCTAATTGAAAACAGTTTTACGTCTAAATTGTTAAAAACAGAAGAATAAATACATACGAACAACTTTTACAAGCGTCGTCGTTGGAACCTGCAGTTGGTAATAATGTTACTCCTGTCATACCTGAAAACATAAAGTTTTGTAAAATATAATATTTAAACATTTATAAGCAGAAAAATACATATAATATTAAAGTACTAATTGAAGATTAACTCCGTATATAACTTCCGCACGACAAATGTGTTGGGAATGTCATAGATTTGTATGATTATGAACTATTATTAATTATTTTAATGGTCTATATCATGCTGCAAGGTAATTGTTTGTCCGATATTTTAACACATATTTGAGAAAACGTTTCCGTTGTTTTGTCAGATTTGACTTATTACCGACAAGCTCGGACCATTTTGTATAACGTCGAATCTTGCATGACCAGTAGAATAAAAGATGTCCGATCCAAGGCCCTTACACCACTCCCTCTTCTTTTAAATAAAACGTCAAATTAAGTGATGAGGTCACCAAAAAAAGAATTACGAGAAGATGACTGTGAACAAAAAATACAAGTTTAAGGATGTATATTGCACAAGCGTCAAATTTCAGCCTTATCTCGATCTTTTAATTATTACTCGACAATTATCTGCCATGAACTGGTATCTGCATCTTTTTGTCCATCCCCCACCCTCGTCTTTTATAAATATTCTTAAACTGAGAATGACGTTAACATGCAATAATGACAAACAGAGGATAGTATAGGATAAAAAAAAAAAAAAGAACACTCACCGACAGCGGGATATTTATTTGCGCCGTTCTCTTCAATCCAGTTGGTATTTGAGTAAAACATTTGTAAAATATGTAAAAATTGCCCAATAAGTTGTCGTGATAATTCATAATTAGGATTATGCTTGTGTAGTTCCGATAGAAGTTGTGTACGTATACCCTGAAGCTTTAAGTTACCTACAAATAAAAAAAAAAGTACAACAACTGCATTACAAAATTTACAATGCACTAGTAAGAGTAAAACAGAGGAGTGACATTCGTAAGGATATCTAAACATGTATAATGTTTAATTCATCTGTTGATGTAACACTACCTTTTCAAACAAAGTTTATTTACAATATAAATTAATGGCACCAATTGTTTTATACCTGATGCAACATCGTTGACGTCCAAAGCTTGAAACAAACGTTGGAGAGCTGATAAAACCAAAAGGGACCAAAAGTATAGCCGGACCAAGACTTGGAACCAGAAATATACACGAGGGAGATAACTCTTTAATTCAAAATGATTTACAAAACTTTAACCGTATATTCAAGCCATTTGTCGAAGTACTGGCTACTAGACTGGTGATCTTATCGGGGACTAAAAGTCCACTAGTAGATAATTACGAAGTAAACGATATTTCATAAGATCAGCTCATTATAATATATAACAACGTTGAGACCGAAGGTTAATTTGCACAATAAGGAAGTTTTAACTTCTCAAAATGTCAATGTACAAATTCCAGATCAGACATCTTGTCTGAGTTATGGATATCGGCCGATATCTCATTGTGTCAAAAATGAATCCATTTGCGCCACAACTTATTTGCACCAATGCTACTTCTGCGCCATTTCATTTAGAAAACTATAGGTTTCATTTGCGCCGGTAAAACAATCATACATTTGCGCCAATTTTGTCTTATCAGTTCTATTCTTTCACGTTATTTAAAGTCGTGCGATATTCATGCTTGGAAAATCTGTGTGTTTGGGTCTTGTTTTCATATTTAGGTTAATACCACGTCTCCTTTTATTGATGATTAATCACAGAAAAAGGTAAGATGTTTTCGAATTAGCTGAAGTAAGGAACCTTATTGCATGTGATGAAATTGTCAAAATTACGCGTAATTTTCTAACAGTTGTAAATGTGTTTACATTGAGAATAAAAAAAATAATAGATAGGTAATGTCCAAAGAATGACAAAACTATTACTTTGTTCTATCTGTTCGCCGTTGAAATGCCACGCTGCTACGTTGTGGTGATCCTGGTCAACTTTGTTGTTGTAACTGACAATGTTGTCAATTGCATCCTGTAAGCGCCTCGGTGATCTTGAACCTGAATTTGAAAACATAAAAATCTATATTCAATTTATTCAAACGACTGGTGAACGGATGAAAATGAAACGGTGCACTCACACAGAGAATGCAACTGAGGCTCAAAATGACACGTACCACAACCAAAAAAAACAGGGATGTTATCAGCAGATCTTGTCTCTTATATATGAAATATGAAACCCGTACGTTGTATTATGAGTCATTTTAAAATGGGTCCAACGCAAAATTCAAGAAAGAACATTGTGCCTACAATGATTATAACTCATACATATGATATAAATGATCAACCTGCACTTCATGCCTTCCAAAATGTTTAGGCCAATATTTGTCAAGAAAATCATAAGTAACTATACTGAAGTTTGAAGCCAGAAATTATATGGCAATATCCAATTAAGAAATCCGAAACTATACATGTTTCACATACAAGCAGAACATTGTCCAATTTGAATTAATGAGATGTTTGATGTTCTGTGAGTAGAAATATGATGTTTCTCTGTCTGGCAGTGCAGGAAGAACTGTTGTGCAGATCATAAAAGTCAATCAGAGAATTTGTAACTACTAATGAAAGCCATTCAAAATAGCTTACATGTAAGTTAAGAAAATTCTTCCGTGAAATCTGCGGGCCCTCCTGAGAAACTGATTATCACACGTCATGGCTGCTCGTTTATAAATATGATATAATTTGGATATGAGTTTTGAATGTTAAATCCACAATTTTTTTCATAAAAATATAATTTCCATACACACCATGAAATTCATGGAATGCAATAGATATTGGGTTGGAGGCATTCCTAAAATTAAAAAAAGGTACTTTTCAGTTAATATAATAGCTGTAAACAAATATCTTTACACATGCGCACGTATACAACACCAATAAAAACATGGCGGCAAACAAATTAAGGTCGTCCTATGCAATTTTAAAAGGTTTTATCCAGAAATGATCGAGGATGTAAATTTCGTTGAAATTGTAAACACTAAACGCATTCAAATATGCCCCCGATTTCTTTCAGGAATTGTTCTGATATGGTATTGTCCTCATTGTATCTTCTTCCTTTTTCAAACAGGATTTAGACATTCTTATCAAAGCAATGTCTTTTGTTCACAGTTGATGAATATGATATTCTGCGAATAATTCTGTTGACGTTATACTACGATATGTCTGATCTATATGTAATAACTTAATTGTTTTTATTTTTATAAGTGTATGTTTAGGAATCAGCTGTAAAAATGTTTTGTCTTTCAATGAAATAACGATTTGGCATACCAAACTATAAGCCTGGTATCTTTGATGAGTTTTGTTTATACATGCAATTATATGTTGGTCTTTTCACAAATAAATCTTTAAAAAAATACTCTTAAGTTATCAACATTTTTGTATATTTTTACGATCAATTCTAATTAAAAGTATCTTTAAAAAAATACTCTTAAGTTATCAACATTTTTGTATATTTTTACGATCAATTCTAATTAAAAGTTTAAGTTATCAACATTTTTGTATATTTTTACGATCAATTCTAATTAAAAGTATTTTAATTAGAATTGATCGTAAAAATATACAAAAATGTGTATATTTTTACGATCAATTCTAATTAAAAGTATTTTAATTAGAATTGATCGTAAAAATATACAAAAATGTTGATAACTTAAGAGTATTTTTTTAAAGATTTTTGTGAAAAGAGTTGCCGTATTTTATGTGGGATGGTACTTTCGAAACACTTTTTGAAATTTAAATTCGTGATCAGTTGATGGTCAGTCATAGAAGGAGAGTACTAAAACACTCGCAAGCAAGAAAAAAGCTAGTACATTTCATTCAAGACCGCCGTACCAAATAAAATACAAAATGTTTACATGAAACTGAAAAACTAAGTTCTGTTCAGTACAGTATTTATAGGGATAAACTGTACACAAATAAAATATCTTCTGGCCACTATAACTGATAGTCAGATATTTTTTGAAAAAGAGATACGACTGGTAAATGATGTTTTTCAAATCAAGAACTTAATGTAATTACAGTAGTTATCAATATGTTCGGTTATGACAAAATGTTGTATAGCTTTGTTTTGTTTCTCGTATGAAGAATAGAAATCCTGATGCATACAAAACATAGATGAGACTCAATTATTTAAACAAAATATGACCATTGAGGGCGCTAAAACCTGTCTTATAGACTTCTAGCACATATGTTTCAGGTAAAAAAATATTTTGGAATTGACAGCTTGTGGATTCCCTCTGCAGAGAAGTAAGGTTTGATATGTTCATATTTATAGATTAGTTATATCGCCTTTGAGGAATAGCCATTAATTGATTTGGAAGTCGTATAAAGTAAAAAATCTATTTAATTTTTTTAGATTGTGTCTGCATCGTAACAAAAACAATACTTTGAGGAAGGTGTCACAATTGAAAACAAACAAAGAAAGTAAATACCTACTTATGTTTTCATCGAAGGTTATGCAATTACTTTACGATGAGAGTAATTATACAGTAGAAATAATCTCACAACCCAACATTTAACTTTAATTATCATTTTGCTAAAGCCAAGTTTGTTAACTACCTTATAAACACAAATCCAAGTCAGGAGCCTGTAGGTCAGTGGTTGTCGTTAGTTCATGTCTGTCATATTTGTTTTTTCGTAAATTGTTTTGTTATAAATTAGGCCGTCAGTTTTCTCAATTGAATTGTTTCATATTTTTCATGTCGGGGCCTTTTAGAGCCGACTATACGTTATAGGATTTTTCTCGATGTTGAAGGTCGCACTGTTGCCTATAATTGCTAACATCCACTTCATTTGAACTTTGGTGGATAGTTGTCTCATTGGCAATCATATCACATCTCCTTATTTTTTTTATATATGAACGTTTTCTAAGAATAATGAAGTGGGCGATAAAAACTTTCAAACATTCCGACATTACCATTTTATGTGGTGATGGTTTCCTATCGACAAAAGTACGGTATATATAACCAATTAACTTGAAAAAGGGATAGGCTACTGGCTGTGAAAACATGAAAACCCCACACGAATTCCTTTAAATTCCACCCGCTGAAGAACAGTATACAAATATTGTTATCTTAAAGCAAAGTTTACTTCACAATCAAATAAATGTGTTATGATAACTTGGTACTCCAAACTCAATCATCTTAGATTCGTACGGTGACATGGCACTTTAAATTGGAATTAATAAAATGTTGGTGCAATGTTTTTAAGCTCGTGTTTAATGGTATAGTAAGCATATACATAGTACGTTCAACTGAATATCTACTGTCAAATGAGAATTCAGTTCATTTTGCAGTGTACAGAAACCTAAACTATACAGTGTATTTTGTACAAGCACGCATGGGAGAAGTAATTTCTCTACTGTTTTTGATAATTTCAGAAATGACGATAACTTTACCTACCTGTCTTTTTACCTGAACTTATACGTGATATGAAATAGTATCTAATAATCTAGCAAAATAAGTACATTATAGAAATATAACTTAAACATGGTGCAGGTTTTGGAGCTGGATACATGTACCTGCTGCATTGTATGATTAAGGTGTAATGAGTAGAACACATGCAAAAAACCCAACATTCTTAATTTGTTACGTGTGATTTGTAATTCATTATCTCCGTCTTACATAAAACATTCATTTGTTTATCAATTTTCGTAAAAGATTCACAAAACTGCCTTAAATGTTAGCTGATGCATTCAAATTGTTTCAAGTGAATTACTTGAGGTTGCATGAGTCCACCTGATTCCAAAAGCTTTCTATTTTCTTTTCATTCTAATTCTTTTCATAGTGATCACATGATAATTTGTCAACTACCGTATTAGTTATTTCAACATTGGGTCAAAAAGCACAAAAGAAGAAAATAGGTATTGAACCTTAAAATTCGGGTCACAAAGAACGACGAAGTTGATAAAAAAAGAAAGGAATATATACTAGATAAACTAGATACACATGCAAGTAAAGACCTATAAAAACTGAGAATTCTCACAACTAAAGCTATGTACAACAGAATACTTTTGCAACTTAAGTTAATATGTTTAACAGTGAACTAAAACTAAAGCTATTTAAACAGAGGACTATTTCAACCTAAACTATGTTCAACCCCCCCCCCCCCCCCCCCCTCCAAACCTGGGACAGTGGTGTAACAGCATAACACATGAACAAACTAATCACTTGAAAAGGGCTAAACTCATCAGATCGATACAAAGCAGAAAAACAAGTAACAAAAACACAAACCGGACGTGGCAGGGTATTTACACATCCCCACAACAAAAAAGACACTAAGTACAGATCTGATAGTACTCGCAGTTACTGACAGCTAGTTCAAAGCCAATAACAACTAATAGAAAAATCATGTATTGAAGACTGAGACTAGAGTCCTGCTAAAATAACACACAGGGCCGAATAATGCCGTATCAGGAAGTATACACCGGATATGTAAGTACATTTATCATTTATTTAAAAGTAAAAATTGATAATTTTGTATGGTAACATATGTGTTATAAGATTTTATAAGGAAAATGGATTGAAAAATAAAAATGTGACATTTATTAATGTTTTTTCCGTATTTAATTTCATATCCATCACTAAATCATATGTTATACAATATAAGTCTTAGTATAATAAAAGGATAAATAATTATACAATTTGAGAATATGCATTTTCGAGTTTTTTTTATAGTGTACACGTATGGTGTGTCAGATGGTTGTCTATAATTTTAAAATATGTTTGAAAATTTAATCCATCATAACCAAAACAGCAAACGGAAAGCAAACAGGAAAAATATTACTAGTAAAAATCAAACGTATATATATTCGAATTTACAGGGGGTCTCGGTGGCCGAGTGGTCTAAGTAGTTACTACTGTAATCACTAGCCAGTCAACACTGAGGTTGTGAGTTCGAACCCCGCTCGTGCGGGTGCACTCGACTCCAATCTTAATTGACTAGGATTGTCAGTTTTCCTATCGAAGGTCGGTGGTTTTCTCCGGGCGCTCCGGCTTCCTCCACCAATAAAAACTGGCCGCCACGAAATAGCCCAAAAGCGGTGCTTAAAAGTGGCGTTAAAACACCAAAAATCAAATCAAATCAAATCGAATTTACAAACAAAAGATATCGGAACACTAGATAAAGTCAATATCTCAATATTCAGAAAGACAAATCGAGACACTAGTTAATATGTGTTAATACCTCATAGGATCAGTACATTTTGGACAATTGTTTAAACCATAGTGTAGTAATATAATTATTTAAGGTTTAATTTTTGCAATCATATATTACTAATTGATCCAAGACGAATTATTATGATGAAAAGCTTTAACCATTAAAGTTATTAAATGATGTTATCTTTTTCTGTTTGGATAAAGATATGCTTAAAACTGCAACTATGAAAGGCGAATGTTGTTTTGACTTGCCGTTCCCTCATAGGATGTTATTCAATTTTATTTGTTAGAAAGAGATGGGCCTTTTACAATAATGAAAAAAAAAATATTATGTAGGAATTGATCCAGTTGGTAATGATACATGTATAACTCATCTATCTGGTCCAGAGAACTAGTCCGATAACATAGATTTTTGAAATTATGTTTTACCTGCGTAAACCTTATCGTATAGCTTCTTAGCAGTAATGTCTTGGATTCCCGTCAACGAACCAGAGCTTGGTGTTGATCCTCCAGGAGTAAGCGGTGTTTCTTCATAAAAGGCTGCTACTGCTTTCAGAATTCCAATTTCTGTTATTTCTGCGTGGGTAAAGTCATCTTTACCAACATATTGTCCGTATGGGTTAGGAAAAAATGCTTCTGTATATGTAAAAGTCCAAATGAATAACAAAATATGAGGTATGGTGCGAATTTTCATTATATGCAATGTTCCCATGTTCGTGTCGCAAGAAGTTATGATTACAGATAAAATTTTCAAAATTAGCCACGCGTTTTTATTTATGATAATGTGGAAACAAACGTTTAGCTTTGCGTTGTATATACAGGTATCAGAATTAATATAGTATGAGCGAATATTATACGTCACTTGTAGATATAGGAATCTCAAGTGTTTTTGATAAATTCACTCAATTTATTTAACATTTAAATGGTTTTTCCGTGTTGACTTTAAACAGCACTTTATCGTCTTTTTTTCTTTTAATTCCACAAAATATGAAATGAAATTGCAAATGAAATTCACATGCATTTTACACATTTTAAAGATGTTAGTGTACTTAACTTTCCGTTCTTTCATTTTCATTTTGTAATAAATTGTAGGATATAAACTTACGAGAAACTAAATGAGTTCTTTAAGCATATGTATATCAAAGAAATAGTTTAATGAGAATTGGTAACTTGTTTAACATTCCAGGAACTCGTGCATACAAAAAGATTATTTATCGTATTATCATTAATTTTGTTGTCAAAGAAAAGATATTAAAATTACGTATAATACTGTTTTCTGTACTCACAATACGTGTCTCTGGAATAACATTTATTATGTACGCCTGAGACTAAGTTTGGAAAAACAAAAAATATAAAACAATTTAGAGCATAGCAACCAAAAGAAACAACAGAACCGCAAAAACCCGTCTAATCGATTGGTTCCTATGCAGTGAACATTATGTGAAATATGTAAACAGGCTTTTGTTGAATATTCTTGCATCTAACCTCCTTTTGTTAGTCCACCGATTAAAAGGGGGATGGTTTAGAATTTGATATGTCAAAAATAGTTTAACCCTCTACGTGTTCATGTCCTTAGTGAAAAAAACATTGTCATTTCTACCTGTTTATCTTTTTTAAGACTAGGGCGATTTAGAGCATAATGTATAGATACCTGTCTATTGTTGAAGATTAAATGTTGACCTCTAGATGTCTTTGGGTTGTTTATGTCGTCAGTTTGCTGTCTTATTGATTCAACAACACACATCTCCTTAATTCATAAGGATAAATAACGGACTGATTTTAATACTATATTTGTGACTATTTTTTTTATAAAATAAATATGAAAAATTATGAAAAATGGATAAGTATACTTGTACTTAGTATACAGTTAAAATGAGATGTAATCTACGTAAAGATTATATACAAAATCGTCACCTTTTAAACGTCATAATAGGCACAATCGGTAAGGAAAGTAGTAACACGTTTTTTTTATATGCAATGATATAAAAATCAAGATATATGATCTACGATGACTCCAGTACATCAGCTGTGTACAGTGTGAAACATACATGATTATTCTGGCGTACTTTTAGTTTCAAAATGTTATTACTTTAAAAAAAAAATTGGCGAATGCACAGAATCGTTCCTACGTACATTTGAAGCTTACCACCACAAAGAAACCATGTCATTGAATATTTCAGTTCTGTTCTCACTGTAAACTGTAAACATACAGTGTTTAGCGTTGTCTCCTTTCTAACCAACAACGCGAGGATTTTATGTGTTTTCAAACATCCATATGCAGTTTACAATTTTTTTTATACTTTTTAAATTTATTTCCTTCTGTTTTGTAACTGACAGTTATTAATTAACGTCTGGTGGTGTCAGGGATTTACAGATACTTTTAGTTTTAATATTAAAATTCATTATAAAAAATATATCAGTACTTGATTTTTACTTCATCTTCACATCTAAAGTCTGTAAAGGCTAAACGATAATATTTCGATAACTATATACTGATGAATATTATGAAAGATTAAGAACAATTCAGGTCATATGTTAAAATATGTTCGACCACCTAGAAGGTATTAAAATGCCATTTTCAACAGATAAATTTACCTAATTTGAAGTCAATTATATCACCATGTTACCAATTGAGAATTGTACTTAAGGTACATTTCTTTTGTATTTCAAGCGACAATAAATCTTTTCAATCCTTGGACTATCTCATCTTTCCTTTTTTTATGTCTTTCTCGAGTTATTAACTTCTTTTTATCTTTAAGAAACACTTTACTTCCTTATTAACTATATGCAGTGACATGGTATATCTTTTTAAAAAATTTTGTACGAGAGTTTAGTCAAAGAGAAAAAAACAGGAAAGATATCTACATTCTACCACAGCACTTCGTTGATGATGAAATCGAGCATAGAAAACCAGTTTTGGTTTATCTATAATTGAGATTAGATGAATATTGTTTTCAACGGGGTAAATAGAATTAGTTTCTCTAATGATTTAATGTTAAATGCCGAGTGCAATGTTCCAAATAGATTGTAAATTAAACAAGAAAATTTAAATAAAAATAATATAAATTGATATAAGTTGCTGCTTATATTTAAATATGACTTCTTTCATATCGTCTTGTCTTTTACAAGTTAATTCATGTATGCCGATTAAGCATCCGTTACATTATGTTTTGTTACATGTAGCTTTGATATCAACTTCTCGACACAATATTGGGCAATAACATTCCTTACATATTCACTGGAACTCATTCAAAGACTTTATTTTTTTCCTGGTTTTTGATTCTGAAAACATGAAAATTGATTTCACATATACTAGGCTACTATTATTTGTTACACCAGATGCGCGTTTCGTCTACATAAGACTCATGCATCATGATATTTATATATTGTTGCATACCCATGAAACATTGGGCAAAAATATTTCAAAGTTAACAACTTGTTATTCTCTCAATGCCTTTATTTTTACTATTATTTTATTTTGAGAAATGATGTTCAGAATGTCTTTGTCTTTATAAAAAGTTATTCCGCTGTAGGACTTCGTCGCCTTCACTATCCATAGTGAATGACATCCACCCCCACCCCCTTAATATAATGTGTATGACTTAATAGTGTAAGATTGAGGAATATATTAAAACTTGTTTTGTAACAACACATCGATTAATTTTGTCTTGAAACAGCACATGGACCTGTAATAATAGTTTGAATAGGTCGATTTTTATTTTAATGGATTGTTCACGTCATCTCGTTGAAAGCGAAATTTTATTTGCGGAATGCCAATGCATCGAAAATAATTGTTATCCCCAGTTATACACGATAAAGTTGACTGATTGAGGGATACATTGTAGTCGTTGGAAATTCAGAACAAAATTATTTTCGTAAACTCTTTTTTGAATTCCTTGAAGCCCTTAAATACTTTTATTTTTATAGCTAGACATCAAGCTAGCGGTCAGCTAACATACTTTTATTTATCCCAGATGCTTGTTAAAACCCAACTACAGATTGGCAGTATTTGGCCACAGCCTTTAATATTATTTAATTTATACATATTGTATATAAGTAATCTCAATTTAAATGTATGTATGTGCCGCAGATCGCCGGCAATTTAACTGTCACTTGTATATCTGAAAATATGAGGTTACCGGCATATCGCTGATCATGGCAACCTTACTATCAAATATATATATAAATGACTACCACAGTTTGTGGTAACTGAATATAAGATTAAAACAATTTGGATCACCTTGGGAACACAGGTGATGGATCAAAACCCTTACATTGTTCATCTGTAGTGAATGAAACCATTTATAAAACGAAACGTTTTTTTGGTGCAGCGAATTCTGCAAATCCGAGTATATTTGTAAATCATTCTTTGAGGACAGTTCATTTTACATCAATCGGAATTCTTCATCTGTTCAATTCGCAAACTACTTGAAGGCGTCCAGAAATGTCAACTCAAACATAACCTGAAAAGATAACATAAACCAAAGCAGTTTCTAATTCTAATTATATTTAAAAGACAGAAAAAAATGCTGATTTTTCATTGCATTCTCAGTATCAGTAACGCATTTGTTTACTGATATTCTCAAGTATTGACGCTTTTTTCCTGTATTAAATTTCATATTTCAAAGATTCGATAACATTTATTTTATCTTAATCCTTTATATTTCAGTTTGGTATTTTAAAGGATTCTTAGGGCATGACAATTAAATATACAACATATTTGCAGAACAATATCAGTTATGGTAATGTTCAAGTGTTTCTTCTGAGATATGTCCTTCATTGTTAGTGTATTATTGCTTCTTAAGTATCTGTTTTCCTTTTCGATGTAAAACAGTGTTCACATTTGCAAACCAAACAACACAACAACATTTTTGATTTAAATGACATGTGCACCTACCGACACTCTGCAGAATCAACCCCTGCACAAGTCATTACAAAAATTGGTTAATCAGATAACACAACTCTGTGTTCACACTTGTTATATTAACAAAATAATCAATTTACTGGGAGGGAGGGTGGGTTTTTGGTTTTATATTTTAGCTGAATTGTCTTCTGCCTTCCTCCTTGGATCCAAATTGAAAAAGGCCCGTGACGTCAGAGTTTAAGGTTCAGTAACCACCAATGAGATTCTGGTACTTAACTTCATTATTAACCAAACAAAACATATATGGTACAGCGCACCGTGATAACCGAATTTACTTACAGGACTTAAATTCTAATAATGATTAATTTGTTAATTTTATGTGTGTGTGGTTTCAATATTTGCTTATATAATTATACTTTAATAATATGTTTAGAAATAAGCAGATTATAACTGCTTTTAATAAATTACTTCAATTTTCCAGTTGTTAATTTTACATTCTTATGAGCAATACACTAGCAACATTTGGGATATATATGAATGAATGAATAAATAAATGGTTTATTATAGTGTAACCTGTATATATACAACACAACAAATACGTATATATCTCCCAGTTGCTGCTATATTCCATAAATAAGATTACTTATCAGGAGTTTCCTGGTAAATGATTTTTGCTTCCAATGAAAGCACTGAACCGAGATTTCTTAATGTTTGTGTTGAGGTCTTCTCTTCTGTTCTGGGCGCCATCGTGGCTTGGTTAACCGTTGCGGAATGTCTGTCGGTAATTATTTTGTAATAAAAAATAAAATAATTCCCAAATAAAAAGTTTTGATCATTATCATAAGTTT